TACAAAGATTGTGAATGACTCCCGTCATGTTACTTAACAATATTAATTAAATTAAACTATGTCCTCGGAACTCATAGCATAACCGAAGGACAACCAAGATCAGACACATGAATATACTTGAGTACCTGCACAAGTTCATGAAAAAATGGAATTGAAAGATAAGTTTATTTTGCTGCAAAAGATCTTAAAATTCTTGCACATTTTCTCCATTACATAAATTTTCTATGAACTTTCGGGATACTCCTTGTGGGCATGGATTCTGAAAAGTTTTGCTCCAAAATAAACCACGGTTACTTTTTTAAGTATGGCCTATAGTCTCATGGACTCTATGTAGAGTGCTTGGAGTACTTGGATCCCATATCTGAGTGAGTATGCTGGAGTCCTGGCTCTGCTTCTTATTCCAGCTTCCTGCTAATGCATATCCTGGTGGCCAACAGATAACGACTCAAATGTCTGGGTCCCTGCCGCGTGACAGAGAGACATAGACTGAGTTCCAAGTTATTGGTTTCAGTCTGGCCAAAACCTGCACACGGCAAACATTTGGGGGAGTGAACCAGCAGATGCAGGGTCTCTAACCCCCACCTTCTCTCAGTGTCTCTCTCTCTCCCCCTCACTTTCAAATCAATAAAAAAAAAATAAGTAACTTTTAACACTAAGGTTTTCTTACTGTGAATTAAATGGAGTATGAGGTCCACTGATAATTAAAACGTGCACTGAAGGTTTTAATGGCAGCCCTGACGATGACCATGAGCACTCACTTTTTTTCAGGTTCTGTGATCCAACGTTGGTTTTAAGAAATACAGTCAAATGGCATCTTTCTCATAATAGACTTGAAACAGAAATCATGTGAGGGCAAAAGAGCTAATCGGTAATGCAGGACATATAGAATTTGCATGAAGACAGCAGTAAAAGTAGCAAAATATCCAAGTGAAAGTTAATGTGCGATCATTTACATGGGAATCTCTCAGAAATAAGAATTCGAGAAAGATGTTTTTAAAATGTGTACAGTAACCATGTCAGAACCCCTCTCAATGGAAGCCGACTCAAGAAGGCCATAGCCTTAAAGAAAGAGACATAAGAGGATCCCACCATGTTGGTTATGCTCAGAAATCTGACTCTGGGCCAAAAGCATTCACATCCCCTGAGAACTAGAGGGAAACAATGATTTTAGGGCCTGAGCCTCACCAAACTTACTGCAACACACACTCTGTACAGTAAAACTCGGCGATCTGTTTTGAACAAGCCCCCAACGTGGTTCTCAGACGCACTAGACCTAAGCACTTCTGGCTTGGAATTTTTGCCTGTATTTTCTAGCTGGAGTTGCCTTAAAAATGAGTTAAGTGTGGTGCCGGCCCACGTGATATTCAGCATGACATTCCTCTGCCTAGCGCATTGGCATCCCATAGAGGCATGTTAGTATCCCGGCTGTTCTACTTCTCATGTAGATGCTTGCCTTTGGCTTGGGAAACAGCAGCAGATCCTCAAGAGCTTGAGCCCCTGCACGCCCGTGGGAGACTCAGTAAAAGATTCCTTGCTCCCATCTTTGAGCTGCTCCAGCTCTAGCCATTGTGGTCATTTGGAGAGTGAATCAATGAATGGAAAATTCACTCTCTCTTTGTCTCTGTCTCTCCCTCTCTCAACAATTATTTCAAGTAAAATTAATAAATCTTTTTTTTAAAAATGAGTGCTTACTGGCATAAATACAAAACTAGATGCACAAAAGCTTCTCAATAAAAGCTCATTTTCTGGGTAACAGATACATCTAACTTTTCAAATGCTTCGAAGCATTTGATTTCAATGAATATCAGAAAATTAAAACTGAATTTAGTCATGGTAACCCAAACACAAATAGAATAATTATACTGCATTCTAAAATCTTTTAAAATTTATTTAAGAATATCTCATGTTTATGTGATTATGTATGTTCCTATCAAGTACTTGACAAAAAAACAAATGTTTTAACCTATTATATAAGTTCCAACAAATAAAACATGACCACTTTAAAGCAAATACATATTTAAAAATATGAAAGGATGGTAAAAGTTAGTATAATAAAGAAATAAAGTTATAAATTTCCACTTTCACTCTAGATTCTTAAAATATAGGCAGCTGGTAAGGAATTTTTAGAAGACTGGGGCCAGTGTTGTGGTGTAGCAGGTTAAGATACTGACTACAATTCCATATGGATGCCGGTTCAAGTTCCAGCACCCCCTCCCCATCCAGCTCCCTGCTAATGTGCTTGGAAAAGCAACAGAAAATGGTCCAAGTGTTTGGGCCCTTGCACCCAAATGGGAGACCTAGAAGAATCTCTTGGCTCCTGGCTTCAGCCTGGCACTATCCTGGCCATTGAGGACAACTGGGGAGGGAACCAGTGGATGGAAGAGTTTCAGTAATTCTGCCACTCAAATAACTAAATAATAAAACCTAAAAAACAGAAGAGACAAAGATTGATGAAGAAAAGGTATCTACTTTCAGAACAGGGATGTTCTCCCAAAGAAACTGTTGAATTTATCTGGACAACAAGCGGCTGGACTCTATGCACGGTACATGCTCACAATGAAGGAATCATGACTGGATTTGATCTGTAGTACTGCAACAATGTGGAGGAATCCAACATGGGGGAGGGCATGGGGAGGGGCTGGGGGAATCCCAGAGCCTATGTAACTGAGTCATAAAACAAAATTTTTTTAAAAGAAAAGGCATCATAAAATATATTAATTTCATTATATACTAATTGCTCTTATTTGACTAACAATTAATTAAGTAACAACTTAGAATAAACCCAAAATTATGCCATGTGTGAAGAATTCTCTTTCAGAAGAAAGGTAACAAGATTATCAAGTGTGGGCCAGGAGCGATAGCATAGTGGTTAAGGTCCTCGCCTTGAACATGCCAGGATCGCATAAAGGTGCCAGTTCTAATCCTGGCTCCTCCACTTCCCATCCAGCTCCCTGCTTGTGGCCTGGGGAAGCCATCGAGGACGGCCCAGAGCATTGGGACCCTGCACCCAGGTGAGAGACCTGGAAAGAAGTTCCTGGCTCTTGGCTTCAGATTGGCGCAGTACCAGCCGTTGCAGTCACTTGGAGAGTGAATCATCAGACGGAAGATCTTCCTCTCTGTCTTTCCTCTTCTCTGTACATCTGCCTTTCCAAAAAAAATAAATAAATATTTTTAAAAAGATTATTAAATGATGACTTATAACAGAGAATAACTTTATTTTCAGGTTGAAAGTCATTTTGAGCTCTCCCAACAGGCAAATTCATCTTAGTAAGTTGGTCTTTATATCACATACGTCACTTGTTAGAGATAGTATATAATTGCTTGACTCAACTGTTATCTTGCCTTTTTTTTTAAGATTTATTTATTTTTATTGGAAAGGAGGAGAGACAGAGAGGAAGATCTTCTATCCGATGGTTCACTCCCCAAGTGGACACAACAGCTGGAGCTGAGTCAATCTGAAGCCAGGAGCCAGGAGATTCTCCTGAGAATCCCATATGTGTACAGGGTCCCAAGGCTCTGGGCTGTCCTCAACTGCTTTCCCAGGCCACAAGCAGGGAGCTGATGGGAAGTGGAGTTGCTGGGATTAGAACCAGCACCCATATGGGATCCCGGTGCTTTCAAGGTGAGGACTTTAACCGCTATGCTATTGCACTGGGCCCTGTTATCTTGTCTTTTTTAAAGTGAATTAACTGGGCCCGGCGCGGTGGCGCAAGTGGTTAAAGGTCCTCGCCTTGCACGCCCGGGATCCCATATGGGCGCCAGTTCTAGTCCCGGCAGCCCCGCTTCCCTTCCAGCTCCCTGCCTGTGGCCTGGGAAAGCAGTCGAGGATGGCCCAAAAGCCTTGGGAACCTGCACCCGCGTGGGAGACCCGGAAGAGGCTCCTGGAGGAAGATCTTCCTCTCTGTCTCTCCTCTCTGTATATCCGCCTTTCCAATAAAAAATAATAAAAATAAATCTTTAAAAAAAATAAAGTGAATTAACTACTTAACATCCATAAATCCTTCTAAACACTGTGACCTTTTCCTAGTTTCATAACATGATCACAGAATGCTAGAGACATACTCATTCTGTTTCCCTTTATAGAATGTCCATTCCCTGATATACAACATTAAAATTTCCTTTAGTTTCTACAAGTCCAATGAGTTTAGTGAAGTAATATTGAACACAAAATTGTGATAATGCTGAATACTACTTTTGACATAGTAATTTTAATGCATTCTTATAATACATTGTAATATGCACAAAAATAAGCTGTGGATTTTAAATTTCTCTGCTTTGAACAAAGAGAACAACATAGCTAGAGTTCATGAAGTTTTTAAAAACAATTCTATAATCATAAAGATTTGACTAAGTAAAGGGCAATTTACTCATCAAAATTGTTTTGAGTCATACTTTAAGAAATGTTTTGGGGCCTGGTGCAATAGCCTAGCGGCTAAAATCCTGGCCTTGCACGCTCCAGGATCCCATATAGGCACTGGTTAATGTCCGGACAGCTCCACTTCCCATCCAGCTCCCTGCTTGTGGCCTGGGAAAGCAGTCAAGGACAGCCCCAATGCCTAGGGATCCTGCACCCTTATGGGAGACCCAGAGGAAGTTCCTGGCTCCTGGCTTTGTATTGGCTTAGTTCTGCCGTTGCGCTCACTTGGGGAGTTAATCATTGTATGGAAAATTTTCCTCTGTGTTTCTCCTCCTCTCTGTATATCTGACTTTGCAATAAAAATAAATATTTATAAAAAAAAAGAAATGTTTTGAAGAATCCTTTTATAACTAATCATTGGGCTTTTTAAGAGAAAAAGGAAACCATTGATTTGGATTTCTTTTTTTTTTCAACCCATGGGATATTCTGGAAAAATGTACATGTGTACTTTCTTAAAAACTTTTCTGAAAGAAAAGAGGGAAAAAATCATGAAGCCTTCTCTGAACTGCTGTTTTTTTCCCCTCTTTCATTACAGGTTTTCATTTTTCAGCTACTTAATGTTTAAAAATCAAATCCCCAAAAAATGGATTTTTTAAACTCCTCTGATCAAAACTTGACCTCCGAGGAACTGCTAAACAGAATGCCATCCAAAATCCTGGTGTCACTCACCCTCTCCGGGCTGGCACTGCTGACAACAACCATCAACTCCCTTGTGATTGCTGCAATCATTGTAACGCGGAAGCTGCACCACCCAGCCAACTATCTAATTTGCTCCCTTGCAGTCACAGATTTTCTCGTAGCTGTGCTGGTGATGCCCTTCAGCATTGTATACATTGTGAGAGAGAGCTGGATAATGGGGCAGGTTGTCTGTGACATCTGGCTGAGTGTTGACATGATCTGCTGCACATGCTCCATCTTGCATCTCTCGGCTATAGCTTTGGATCGCTATCGGGCAATCACGGATGCGGTTGAGTATGCCAGGAAGAGGACTCCCAAGCACGCTGGCATCATGATCACTGTGGTCTGGATTATATCTGTCTTTATCTCAATGCCTCCCCTGTTCTGGAGGCACCAAGGAACTAGCCGAGACGATGAGTGCATCATCAAGCATGATCACATTGTTTCCACTATTTACTCGACATTTGGCGCTTTCTACATCCCACTTGTACTGATTTTGATTCTCTACTACAAAATATACAGAGCAGCAAAGACGTTGTATCACAAGAGACAAGCAAGTAGGATTGCCAAGGAGGAGCTGAATGGCCAAGTACTTTTGGAGAGCAGTGAGAAAAGCACCAGACTGGTCTCTACACCTTACATGCTGGAAAAGTCTTTATCTGATCCATCAACAGACCTTGACAAAATGCACAACACAGTGAAGATTTCCAGATCTGAATTAAAGCATGAGAAATCTTGGAGAAGGCAAAAGATCTCGGGCACAAGAGAACGCAAAGCAGCCACTACACTGGGATTAATCTTGGGTGCATTTGTAATATGCTGGCTTCCTTTTTTTGTAAAAGAATTGGTTGTTAATGTCTGTGAGAAATGTAAAATTTCTGAAGAAATGTCAAATTTTCTGGCATGGCTTGGATATCTCAATTCTCTTATCAATCCACTGATTTACACAATCTTCAATGAAGACTTTAAGAAAGCATTCCAAAAACTTGTGCGATGTCGATGCTAAAAAAAAGATTATTAAGAGACAGAACTTTTGAATGGGAAAATAACTAAGTGAAATGCCAAGAAAAAGTATTTAAAGTTTTAGAGGAAAACACGTTAGAACTTCCAAAATGACAAAATTTTAATTTATATTTTTAATAGTCTGATAAATATAATTCTTTGATTCAATTATCATTCTAGGGTATTCAAAATAATTTATGCAGGTTATGCAAAACATTTTGCCTATGCAATGTTTGTGGAAAGCCAACTAGAATATATATATGTATATCTATACATATATATGTATATATATATGTATATGTATGTATATATGTGTATATGAGATCTCATATATATATGAAATATATATGAGATAAACTGTGGTGATATTCCAGTTTGTCTTACGGCATTGATAAAAGAATTTTTAATTAATGTAATTCCATGCACAATTTCTATATGATCCCATTGCTTTATATAATTCACCGCAAAACTCACATTTATCCATCTTAGTCTGGGCAAAAGGGAAGGGGGAAGAAAATAACAGTTATTCCTTAGGGTAATAGACTAAACACAAAAGAGATACTGACATTGTGTTTGAGTTTAGACAGTAAGAAGCAATCACATAGTGGGTTGGAGATTGCAAAATAATTCTGGATATGGAATTTGTACCTATGTAAGGTGTTCCATTTAATCTAAGTTCTTACAAAGGTATTATCTTAACCACAAATGTTCAACATTTGAAATAAAACCTTAGCCTTGAGACAAGAATTTGATAATGGTCGTGGGGAGAGATGATGTTATAATTGCCCCCTTTTTAATTTAAGAGTCAAACTTAAGGCAGTACACATTCAGGGTACTTACCCTGGTTATTATACTTTTAATGTCTTTTAAATATTTCTATTATGCATTTGATAGAAAGACATAGTTCCTGTCTGCTGGTTCTCATCCCATATGCTCACAATCGCTCAGACTGGCCGCACTGAAGCCAGGAGACAAGAACTCGACCTCAGTCTCCTGCATATGTTGCAAGGACTCAGTTACTTGAGCGATCACCGCGATCTGCCAGGCTCTGTATCAGCAGGCAGCTGGAGCTGAGAATTGATTCCAGGCACACCACACTAGGGAATAGGCATGTCAACCTTGAGGCCAAATGCCCACTCCCTCTAACATCTCTTTGAAATCTAAAATGTATTTCATTCTCTTAATATGAAAAGCCTCTGTTACCAACAACAACGCCTGAATAGTTCACATTTAGCATCTCTATACCTTTGGTTTTAATATTTCCCTTTTCCTATTATCAAGACTATAACAGGAAATCTTAGTCCTTTGTATTAACTTCAAAAAATCTCTAAATTTCCGATTAGTACAAATAAATAACTTAAGGTTCATGTTATACTATATATAAATGAGTTATCCACTTGGAAAGTCTAATATAAGGATTTGACAGCAATGCTTGTGAGAGGATTTTGCTTTATTTGAAACTTTGTCATTGACCAACTTATGGGAAAACCCATCATCAATCAAGATCATTTGAAAACAACACACATACTTTTTTAAAATTATAACTTTACATTTATTATAAATTATTCTTTCTTGACACGATGCTCAACAGTGCATTGCATCATGTTTTTTTCAGCATCTGTTACATATTACTTAATGTAAGAAGTATTTATAGAATTCCCATTTTATCCAAGACATTGAAACATTTAATAGGGAGAGAAAAGATATAGAAAATAGTAAACTATAGCTTTTCCTCTTTATATGCTCATAAGACAATGAGGAAACAAGAAACGATGAAAAATCTGTAATTGAGAAAAACAAAGGTATGATAGAGAGTTCAGCAGCTATTTAGAGCAATAAAGGGAAAGGAGGGGAAAAGAAAACTTGGCATTATTGTGGTTGACCTTGACAGGAAAAAAAAGACACCTATGGTCAATTTCGTTGATATGAATGGGTGTTCACTAATTTTTTTTCATATATACATGGAAAATTTAGAGCAGATATTTTTTAAAAGGCATTGTTATCAGACTAGATTTGAGCAAAGAGGGCACCAGAGATAATGAGTTGGTTGAAAACAAAGCAATAATTTTAGAAAGCGGTGTTGTTGCTTAACATTTGATTCTGATGGTGGCAACAAAAAGAAACAAATGAGACATAAGATGGCAAAAGCTACAGGCTGTGACAAATACTTAATAAGTCAACAGAGGGAATCAGGAGTTGCTACAATAATGTCATTCTTTGCTAAAATGTGGATCTTGACAGAAGTCTGATGTGAAATGGTAAACTGGATATGTTAAGCATATGGAAACAGGCCATATGAATTGTGTTACTGAGCCTTGGCTCGCCCAAGCAAAACTAGCAGTTAGCTGAGATTTCTTTCCCACCCCAAAATGGACAAGCAAATGAGGCTTTTGGCCTCCTTTCTTATCCTCATTTTGCTTTTCCCAGAGCCGTTAAGTCTCCTGACAGCCCAAAGCCTGCAAAATTCCCTGTCATTCTGTTTCTTTTTTTCCCATCCCACTTACCAAAAATTTGCCTCCATTATTGATTCATTCAAAAACCTTGCTGAAGTTGAAATACTTGTCAAACAAGCTTACCTAAATTCATCTCAAAAATCTTGATACTTTCAAATTTAACAGATGTAGTTCACCAACCTAGAATAATTTCAATTAGGGGAAAGGTTCACCCAAACACAAATACTGCCCTGCAAAGTGAGTTGAACTGAAGCTGAAATCTGGGAGAATAATACCATAAGAGACAGGAAAGTCAGATCTCCCTTCAAAATCTATAGGAAAATCAAGTTTACTATTCCTGTATATTTGAAGCTACTTCTTAAATATTCATTTATTTATTTGCAAGACAAGCTATCAAAGAAAAGGGGAAGAGAGAAAAAGAGACATAATTTTTCAACCATGTGTTTACTCTCTAAATACCCACAACAGCCAAAAATAGACCAAATAAAACCAGAAAACAACTCCAGCGGGGTCTCCCATGAAGGCTGCAGGAACCCAGGTAGCAGGACCATCATCTCCTGTCTCTCTGGTGCATTAGCAGGTGCCAGATAAGAAGTACTTTCGACTTGAACCCAACATGACTAAAAGACATGCAAGCATACTAAGCAACCGCTTAACTCTGCATTGCACCACCCACTCCAAGTGATTTCTTAGTCCTAACAAGTAACAATACATGGCAGCAATTGTCACCCCATCTATATATTTTCCCATATGCTGAGGATACAGATTGTCCCATACTCTGTAAACAAATATGAGTGATTTTATGTGTATATATAAAATGCATATTATATATATAAATGTCAGGTAATGTAGGGGCTAATAACCAGCAATTCACACTTTAAAATATATGAACAGCATATTACTTTAAAAGATACACTTCTCCAAATATGTTAGTTTTATTCTCTCACTGAAAATTTTCCAAGTTACTAAAAGCTGAGAATTTTTACAGAAACAAAAATGTTTTCACACCTAGACCAAGTGAAGCAATATAGTGATTCATATGTTTAACTGCTTAGAAGAAAATCTAAATACTATAGAAAGTCAACAGAGAGTAGATAGACAATGCAAGTTTACTTCTTCCTGTAATTGTTGTTCACCAGCAAGAGGAAAGTAGCTGCAGATAGTCTTCCTCCATTCTTCTAAATCTTCTCAGAGAGAGCAAGTAAAAGACAAAGAAATTCAAGAAATCCAAGACCCACAGGAAGTCAAACTTCCAGATGCTAAATCCAACCTAGTACTCTATTGTTAGATATAGCCATGTATAAAATGTGCTTGACAATTCACTTCTACTTGTGAAGCATGATCTTTACTATAAAACTGACTTAAGACTATGAATTGCCTGGGTTAGTAGGCTTTTTGTTTTATTTTCTTTTACAATGTAGAGTAGAGCCCATCACATCAACAGCTTATCCAGACCCTGACAATTGATGGTCATCTTTAAGGAGGACCAATTTCCATTCTAAATTTCCAAAACCAATCTTCCTTTCCCTTTTCTGTTGAGTTTGGATCTCTACCTATCTAGCCTTGATGTGCCCTGAGGCACACTTGTTTCCTGTTTCTATTGGTCAAGCAGAGGATCCTTTAGCAGAGTATGACCCTATATTCATAGGCTCAATATTAAACTTGCCCCTCAGTACAGTATCAAAAATAGCTGGAGCATTCATTAGAAGTCAGCTACTGGGATGTCTGTTGATTTGCTCACTAAATAGCATGTAGATTAGGATGACCATAAACTTATTTCTGAAATATACTCCTCTGTTTCTAGAAGGGAGCTGTTTCATAACTCATTATAAAAAATATTCTTGTCTTATGTCAGAGAATCAGGTTTACCACATTGAGGTAGAAAGGAAATATGTAGAATTTTTTTCTTAATATGTTACAAAGTCCTTCAAAAACAATGCTGTTCAACTCAAGATGTTTCCATATTAATTTATTTCAGAAAATGTGTTTCTAAGATCCTAATAACTAAAATTATATTTTATTTTGCTAAAAATGATCACTCAAATCAGATTAATATTTTTGTTACAAATAAAATATTTTCTTAAGACATTGTGGTCACTTTTCTTGGTCTTTACAGTCAGTATTTTTTCCCCTTATTTAAAATGAGGAATTTATTCCTAAGAGAAACATTTCCCAACAAAATCACCAAAGTTTGGTTATTGATATCGAATCTCATCTCTGTGCAGAAGCACAATGATGCTTGAAATCTACCCAGGAAGGAAAGAATTGTTTTCAAGGAATTTATACTCTAAGATTTTATCACAAACCATAAAAATTTGGTGTGAGAAAAAAAACGCGCGAGATTGTCGGTATCAACAGTAGCAACAATAAATCATATCAAACAGTTTTTTATTAAAGCTTGTGTTTAGTGAAAGCTCCAGTTGCCGCCAAGGAGAGTTTGCGCCTCAGCAAGGACACTAAAATGATTTGCTGGCTTATGGAGACAGAACAAAGCTCATTTTGTTTGTCTTCCTATGCTAAGACTATGATTTGCATGGGTTAGTAGGCTATT